AAGACATAGACGTATCAGATTTGTTTAGTTTTATTCATTTGTTGAATCCAACGCAGGGATTCAATCAGAAGGGAATTCTTAGCAGCAACTCTAGCAAATCAATGTCTCACTAGGTTATCCAGGCCCAAGTTCAAGCTGCAATCAGCATACATTTCCTTCGAAGTTCTTACATAACGATATGCAGAGTTATAGAGATTCAAGTGACTCAGTCATTACTCCAAGAAAATTGAGTCAAGACTCAACAGAGACATGTTCTCATAAGGCATGGTTAACGGTAGTTGCTTTTTGTGTTGGAAAGCATGTTTTTAAGGAATCATGCTTCAGACAATTCCAGGTCTGCTGAATGCATGCACTTCCCAACCACATAATTCACAGTTTTCCCCCTCAGTTTGATGGCACATATTTTTTTTCAAGATGTCAAGCTTGCTTTTATCTTCCTGAAGCGCTGGGAAAACTAAAAGTGGTTTAGTGAGAATGACTTCATATAAATACTACTGTATGACACTATATTCTCACATTGATAGGTGGATTCAAATCTTTACTTCCTTTTTAGATTCAAAAAGGCGCCAAGTTCCTAGTTAATACACAAGTTTACGCTAGCTTCATGCACTAGCCAAAAAACCTCTCTAATTGTAATATTTGCATCTTCTCCTCGCATATGCAGTCCTACTTTCCATTTCACTTTCCCTACTTGCACTCGCCCTAAAGTTGCAAGGATAGCTGCATATCATGCCTTAAACGCTGATAAACAAAAGTTAAATTGTGAATTGATGGATGTCATGAATCTATACAAACTGAAAACTAAGAATGGACATCATAGAGAAAAGCACATGCATCAACGTGTCTACACCCTTCTTCCCACCACCGAAACTCGGACACTTCATTGTGTTCCTGATGATTTATTTGACATTTCTCTCCTTATTTCATTACTTGGGTCACATCTGAGATTCAATGGCCACTTTGATGGATAATGAAAAAGAGTAAAATCGAGCATTGTTGATATATACCAGTCAAGTAAATATACAGCTCCTTATTCGCTAATGAACGTACCAGTCAGGCTGCATGAATAATGCAAATGTTGAACGTTCAAGGCCAGAAGCCTCCTCCCCCTTTGGTGCCTAACAGAAAACAAAATTATACGATAATATTCAGGACACACAGCAATAAAAAGTGAGCAAGGGAAAATGAAACAGACTTAGATGAGTCAAGTAACTTAAGACCTGATCACACATTATAATACTTAACTAAAAAAAATGAACATGTCTAACTCTTCACAGCAAATGCGTTACCGTATTTGTTCCCATTTTTTGACCATACATATGTCAACAAATACATCTCGTATTTTATTTTCCAGTCAACAATCCTTGCATGCTATATTATAGCACAATAGGGAACTAGCATTCATTCAGTAAAAAGGAAAATGGTAATACTAAACATCCATGCAACTTTACCATGATGTAATGCAAAGCTAATAATGACTGGACAAAAGAAGATAAGCCCAATGCTCCATGCAGATCTGCATGTTATTATCTGGAACCGTCAAAATATTGTGTGGGAATCACAATTCTGAAGAGAATAAACAGTGAAGCTGGTGAGGAAAGAATCATGATTTCCAGAGAATAAACTTAGAAAGTGGTGCCTACCTGTAAAGCTATTTGGGAACAGAAACCTAAGTCCTGACTTAATAGGAATAATCGATTAATAAATTGGGTACTAATTAACTTCTAATCTCAGACACTAGCAATGACGGAACAAGCACATAATTTTTAGAGGTTCAAAAGTCTGGGGAATCAGAGAGAAGGGACCATCGATCTGACAACACTAAAAGCTACGGCTACTGACTATGACAATGCAAGTTCAATTTGAGCCAGCCACTTATAGAAAATAACGCCGTAGTTCAAGTCTTTTACCAGATCCATGCCTCCTAGCACCCCCACAGTAGCTGAACTGGCAGCAGGTAATAGGTTTTAACTAAATAAGGGAGGAGAGTTACTTGCTAGTACCACTTATATCACGAATTCTGCTATAAGCTAAAAAGCATCATTAAACAAGAACTAGGGCGTAAGCATATTACAATGGTTTGTGCTAAAACCATGTACATGGTATAGGAACAAATGGCATGCCACTAAAAACAGAGAGATTTTAGATGGCAGAAATACCTGAACGCAATGCGGTGTTGCACAAACATGACCTCTTGACAGTATCTCAGTTGTTTCACCAATTTGATATGCTATCTGATCTTCCCCATATACCACCTAATGCAATAAGAGCAGAGCAAGTTCTTATGGAAAAACATATACAAGCTCTTAGAGCATCAAGACTAAGAATTATATGACCACAATATGAAGAACACATTTCGCAACCAATTTTTCTTCTGGACAATACCCAGTTGAGATTTTTTAAAAGGAAATTCATCTACTTAAACCTTGCGAAACATGAAAATTTGCATTTTGTTATAGCATTTTCTGGATGCACTTTAATATGATTTGGCCTATCAAACTGCTGTTAAAGCAACGTGATGTAGGAACATTTTACAAATCAAATTAGCTCAACATGTTCATTCATTTCATCAGGATAAGCAACAAGAACATGGCATTCCCTTCTAAAAGATTCCTGAGTAGATCTCTAAACACCTCACTGTCAACCTGAATATATGTCTTCCAAGAGGTGATGAATCCTTGTACAAAGCCTTTTCTTTCTCGCATGGAAAGGAACTATCAATCACAATTAGTAGATGAGGAGCTTGCACAATGGATAGGGGTGAAGTATGTGATTGATTTCGTTCTTTATAAGAAATGTATTCCTTTCTAGGGGGTCAGCCTTTTCGATAACTTTGACTGTTTGGAGGATATTGGGATCCCTCAACTCTTTATGTTTATCTTTCATGTTTAATCCCATGATATTCCAGACTATAGCGTTCATGATACAGTCTTAAGTGATGGAATCTTTAGCCCTTTGGGCACTCCCCCTAGTAGCTGTGGCCAGACCACTGACCAAATGGGATTTTTATAAGGTAGAACTCTAATCTCCGCTGCTTGAGGATTCAAGTGAATTTCTAATCACAATAGGGTAACATGAAGAGTTTGCAGTGAAATAAATCTTATTGAATTGATTATGGGTGAACTAACCTGACATTTTAAGGAAAGGTCTTGGTTAAATAATTGATCGACATATTTCTATAAATTTACAACCCATTCTTTAGGTATTTCCATATTATTTATTTTTCAGGATTTGTAACATTTTATCATTTTCACTGTGGAAGGAAGGAGGGGGAGTTTTGGTGAAACAAAACCTAGGGGTGCAACTTGGGCGGACCAACCCAAAAAAATATTGTTAGGGTTGAGGTTTTTAGGATTATAATTAGGGTTAGAATTGAAAAACTTCAAACCGCATTGAATTTAGACAAGGTTCAGGTTAAGGGCTTGGGTTCACTGGTTTAACCCGAACCCAACCCAAAGGTCAACTCAAATTCAAGCATTATATTTATATCAATAATATAAAAATAAAATATGAATACATATTTTGAAATTATTGTTATTTAAAGGGGGAATGACACATAATTTATAAAGACTATAAATGGTGAAAGAAATTTATACAATTAATGTGGGATAAGTAAAAAAAAGCAAAAGAAAGATAAGGAGTTGTCATCTTACATCGGATAGACAATTCAAATGACCTCTCCCTTCTCCCCTTTATAAAGAAGGCTCACCTTACACCCTTAATAAGTTGTCTTGATGGATGTCATCTTAGTGGGCCGTGTAGGCCTATATAATAGTCCAATATTATACAAAAGCACACCTAATTTAGGATTATTATTTGTTGAGTTCGAATTGTGTAACCCGATTTCAACTCAGGCTTGTCCGAAATCATCTCGGGCAATACTTGAGTTGAGTACCTCGGGTTAGGGTCTGATTCGGGTTGAAGATTTTATACCTAGGGTTAATCCCTCAATCCGCCCAAATTGCACCCAAACAAAACCCAACACTGTTTAGTTGGGGAAGAGGAAACCATCTGGGCTTCAAACCACTAGTCCCCAGATGAAGAAAAGATTATCCAACAATAGCCACATAAAATGTCGAATAAAAGGAAAGCTAGCATTCAACACAATTGAATTAGATGCACTAGTAACAATCTTTAAATAAGCAATTATATACTCATTATCAGTGAGATATATGATTTGCTAGTGCATTAGTAAAATTGCAAGCATAAGAGAGTGTACTTTGACTATTTGACCAGTTCGTGTTTTTATATAAAGGCCGGCAGCACTATCAGGGCAAGGTAATTCTACAGCATCTCTCATAAACATTCCACAGGTAAGACCTACAGTTGAAAGCAGTCATTAGACATGAATTTGAACCACATTCCATTTCAATCATCAATTCTGCAAAAAGCTGCATAAAACATCTAACAACAGAATTAGAACAATGCCTTCACCTTAATGCATTCCAAACAATATAACTGAATAGCACCAGGTCCTTTTCTATTCTAACCAACTTTTATATTTCTACATTACACCAGAAAATATCAAATATGATATTATTTTTCCCAAAAAGAAAAAGGAATATAAAGCATTGTAGCAAAACAAACTTGTGGGTTTAAATGCAAGTCAGAAGAATATCCTCCAAAGTTATCCAATCTGTGTATATTTGGACCAAAAATGTTGGCAATGTCTTCATCATAGTTTCACTTATCTCTTCTACCTAGTCACTATACCACCATCTTGAATCTCAGAACTACTGTAGTCCACTACAAGGATGATACAACGGAATTGGCACGATCAGACAAAGTAGCCATTCTCTTTATTTCTTGGTGCCTTCTCTTGTGGTTCATTGTAAGGCTCAATCATTTAATGCATGGTATTTCTGTTTCAGAGACCTTACTATCCAATATAATCACAATTTGCCTTCTACTTGGCATAAAATGATTGCAAGTATCCACATAACTCGGGCATTGATTCGTTAAGAAGCTCCTTTGTACACTTATTTTCACAAGCCTTTTTCCCCAGAAAGCAAATGCTGTAAAAGGTTCAGAACTGAGATTGCTCACCTGTGAGGGAACCATGATCAGTATGCCAACCACACCAAGATGATATGGTGTCACCATCTTTGGCACAATTACTGCAAAACAAGCCATGTTCTACTGGTTAACTGATGAACATTGGGCCCTCAAAGTCAATGTTTCCCTATTCAAATTTGCAAAGAAGAAAATTTGGAACTATTTGCATTTTGGTATCTTGCTAGCCTATGCTACGAGCCTAGGAGACCAAATTTAGTGGAGGATGTAGAAACTTTCGCCCAAGGTGAAAGGTCACAAGGGCTGGACCATAAACTCACATGGGGAAAACAACAGATAATAATTCTGAAGAATCCAAACATTGCAAAGAGTAATGATAGGTTTCCTAATCAGAAGTGGTTGCACTTGAAAAAGACAGCTACGATGATTTATGGGTGCATAAGACCTTTTGGTCACTCATAGGCCAAAACTCAAACATTTATGCCAGTACACAAAGCAAATTTTAGGTCAAACCGGAATGAAAGGAATGCTGATAATACCTGTCTAACTAAATGTCAATCTGCTGGCTAAAATCTGTGGCATGAACAGGCAGAAATGTGTCATAAACAATGAAGCTGACTATCTTAGNGGAATGCTGATAATACCTGTCTAACTAAATGTCAATCTGCTGGCTAAAATCTGTGGCATGAACAGGCAGAAATGTGTCATAAACAATGAAGCTGACTATCTTAGAAAGGTAATGAGGTGTTAATCTGTTGGTAATTCGATTATATACTAAGAAAATGACAAACAGATGACATTAGAAGGGCAAATGATGCAAAATTCCAGTACCGGCGAGGCTCAAGAATGTCATTAGCAAAAGGATATGATCCTTTGATGAAATATATAAATGGCCAAAATAATTGTCGACTCAAAACAGGGATCTGAAAAAAAAAAGTGATGGGACTTTTCTGAAATACTCCATAATGAAGACACGTGTCCTCGGTATTTACCAAAACACTATTGCTAAGATCAAGCACCATCGGCGCATAAAGGTCCTCGCCCCCGAGGTACTCGTCATATAGGATTATGGCATTCAGTACGAGTTACAACCAACACGTAGCCTCGGTCTGATATGGTACCTTGGTCGGTATACCTCCCTCGGTTCCGAGATGGCCTTTCCTCGGTGCCGAGAGGTACCCCGTCCTGGACGCTTCCTCTACTCCAGGATAAGCTATTGACGTACAGGTCATTAGCCTAGGCTAGTCTAGGCTATTCATCATGACCTCGTCTTACACAATTAGTGTCAGAACGTACTGGAATGCAGGGGCCACAGCCAATGGGGGATGGACGCGTGGCATATGATATCACATCGAAGACAGAGAAACCGCATGCCGTTGCTGACACGCGACTTGGGAAAGCAAACTATTAATTACACCATTCCCTTGATGAGACCGCATTCAATGCGGTAAGGCTCGGAAATGAAAGGCAATAAATGCTCCTAATACAGAGCATTTATTGCATCCTCCCCGAGAGGAGTACATTGTACCGTCGGCATCCCGATGACCCAGCATTGATTGCTCGGGACCCCGAGCAGTTAAGAAGAGAAGACATTCCTCATCAGAATCAGTGCGCACACTGCCTGTACCTAATGATCACCTACTGACTACACTGACAGCAATCATGAGCTTTTGAGGTATAAATACTCCTTGCAAAAGGCAAGACGGGTATGCAACAAAAAACTCTTTACTACAATACACACTCAGTGTTTTCTCCTTCCTCTCTCTTTCTCAAAGACTGACTAGATCGTCGGAGGGGATACGCCGGAAAATACTCTGGCGCCCTTCTAACTTGTTCTTCTTTGTTCCAGAGACCTCTTTCAGCCATACTGGATCGTTCTTCCGTTCCCCCAGGGTCTCCCGTTGCCGTTCCAGGTTACCACCGGACCTCGCAGGCTGTTCCAAGCAGCGTGTTTGGTCACTCAACTGGCTCACTCGA